CTCCACAGACTGCACCCTTCTGATGGCAGCCAGAGGATGAAGGACTGAAATCAGAGGCTGAGGAACACGGGGTGTGCTTGCCTGCGGCATCTCTGTTTGGGGAAGCATGGGCATCTCTGACTCCCCCAGCTCAGCACAGCAACAGCATTATCCTCGGAGAGAGGAGAAGGTTATCGAGGGTGGGAGCTTTCGTTATGGTCTGGGGCTGGCTGCTGTGCGCGGCAAGGTGAAATACGGGGCAGGTCTCCCAGCAGAGAAATTAATTTCATATATTATGAAAACCTGCATTCAGCTCACCCTCTGTGCTATACACACCAGTGCACAGTTAGCTAGCTGCATGACAAGGGTTCTTCCTCTTCCGTTATAGTATTTACACTGTTTCAGTAGGCTAATTACACCTCATAACACTACATAATTTTGCCCCACCACAAAACATAGGACAGCAGATTAGATTGGCATTAGTCAGTACTGGGAGATCGTGTAAGCTGAAAAATTACAGAGAAGTTTGTAGCAAGATGATAACAAGATATTAATGCAAGTCTTAGATTTCCCAATACCCACAAAATCTCAAGAGAAGAAAAGGGGACCATTTTAGATTCAAACATCAGTGCTCAGTTAGTGTTGAAATATTAGTAGGAGATCGGAGGTTAGTCCAGATGGCGGAGGGCAGAGGCCAAGTCAAGTGTGGCTGAAACCCTGCAACTTAAACACAGTAAGCGGGGCCTTGGGATGGGTCTGTGTTCCTTAAAGGACTTTACAGAAAAGTCTTTCCATCGTTTTGACAATTAAAAAAACCAACAGCCCCCAAACAAAGAACCCACAAGTGCAGTGTGAAGAACAGCAGCAGCATAGCTTATTCTTTCATGTGTTAACACTGAATACAGCATTTGCTATTACGGACAGAAGCAACGATACCTTGCTGGCCGTATGTGTATTGCAGGTTGGGTTAAATCCCTTGGTGCCAGTGGCTCTAACAGCTGCTTCTACCCACAATCACTGTAAAGGAGCAAGTTGCAATGTGTAATAAAAGAGCTAAACAATATTTACCTCCTCCCCAAATGCTGGCATGCATTGTCAGAGGTGAATTCTGTGATTCCACAGATTCTATGCCCTTTCCGTGCCATACCCCCAGGAGCGTGTGCTGCGTTTAGGCACTGCTGGCAATGTGGGCGAGGTGGACTGGGAGGACGGGTGTGCCCATAACCCTACGGCAATGTGACGCGGATTCATTTCTGTGTAGGAAGGCCCACGTGCAGGCCCACGTGGCGGTTTTCACTGTCAAATGTTTTGTGAGGATGCCTGTATCTGAGAGGCCAGCAGCTTTGAGGAGGGATCAGCAAGGGTGCACCAGGCACAGGGTTAGAGCCTGCAGGGACACATGCATGCATGCATGCATCTCAGGGAAAGACCACACCGTCTACATCCTTCTGGGCTCTGTGCTGACTGGAAGAGGCTTGGAGCCCTGACATGGAAGCCTGGGATTTGGAAACCATTTGTCTTTTGTGTCTGCACTCATCCTAGAGCTTGCTCTTCTTCTGGCTTGATCATTACATATATGAATTGAGCTGAATACTAGTGACCTGGTAATTTTTAGGGATTCTTGTGGCTGCTGAAGAGCAAGTAGAAATAGCTTGGCCTGTTGTATAAGGCCTCAGATCTGGTCTCATGCTTCAGCGACTATGTCTGTGTTGCATTCAAAAGGGTGACTGCAGGACCGGCAGCACCAAAGCTGAAGACCAGTTGCCACTGTATTTACTCAGGTAGGTTGCCACCACCGACATTCACAACATTGCATCAATATAGACACTGATCAGGCTGGGTTAGTGCCAGCTTGGGTATTTCTGTGTGAATCACCAGATGCTGGGTGACCGAGGCCATTGACAAAGCAACTTTATTGGGTGCCTCTGTAGAAGTAGTTCGTTCCCTGGATGGACACTTCCTGCTAGAAATACCTGCCTTAGCCTCTCTATTTGGATGAAAATCTGTGACTACCTAGGGAGAAGACATCCCAGATGGTGATGTGGGGCAAAAGGCTGTTTTCAAAGTAACCAGTGATCAAATCATGTTGTATTAACGTATAAACCTGTAAGCCTCCAGCAGAGCATTTTGACAAAGGAGGGAGAGAATAGGTATGCAGAGAAAAGGTCCAGCACTGTCCTGTCCTGCAAACAGTGAAAAGCAAATTTCCCCTCATCACAATGGGAGATGCCAAGCAATTCATTAACTGGAAGAAAGTTATCTGAAGTGTCACCATTCAGCAAACTCTCAAAAATTCTGGCTTTCTTTGTATTTATGAATTTATTTAAAAATATTGTATTTATTAAAAGTCACTCTGCAAACAATTTGCAAAGGGAAAAAATTATAGCTAGATGAACAACTGGTCCAGCACACCTTGTCGTTGTGCACTGAACTTCATGAACCGGCTTCTATGGAGGTATTTGCAGTGCAGAGACCCAATCTGGTGCACAAATCTTTGTGGGAACAAAGCTTTGCCTGCAATGCCTGGAAGTCAGGGACTGCTTCTTGTTATTAGTTGTGTACGCTGCTGGGACCTCATCTCGACAGAGGCCTTGGGGCATGACTACAAACAAAAACAGCTGTACATAACAATTAACTGTAAACTGTATGCATCTCAGCTTTGTTAGAAAAAAAACCCCCAACAACCAACAAACAGCACACTCATAACTACTGGGAGTGAAAATTAAAGGAGCATTTTACTTTTATAAGGTAAGCCTGGCAAATGTTTGGACTCAAAGAAAATTTGGTATCACTGGTATTTAATTTCCACTGATTTTACTCTATACAGAAACATCTTTCCTCAATGGACACAGATGATCACCAGCTTCCCATACATGTTTTTTGTTAACTGCATGGCGTGTGTAGCTGGAGAAAAAAATAACTCCACCTTGTGCATGTATATCCTCTCCACTCCCATTTATAATGTAAATCCACATCCTTTCAGTTTAGAGCAGCATAGCTCACTGTGGTCCTTAATAAAAATTTATACAGCAGAGGAAATGAGAAGTTAGGAGTAGTTTGGTAATCCTAAGAATGCAAAGGCATTATTAACACTTAACAGCCATCGCTGTCAGTGTTGTTTCTAAATGCTGTAATTGGCAAGTAAAAGGGAAAGATTAATTTTGGGGCTTGTACAGTGTGGTGCAGTTTCAAAGTCCTTGTAACACAGCCCAGACAGGAATACAGTGATGTAGAGGTCTTTGGTTAAGTCCTTCCATGAGATAATTTTATCCTAAAAGACCAAGTTACATTTCTATGGAGAAGACTAATTGGACACAATTGAACTTAAACAAAACAAAAGAAATATTTGTAAGTTCAGCCATAAGTCAGGATTTCTCTGTTCCCTGGTAGGATTATTGTTGTTTCATTGTTGTCTTGTTGTTTTGCTTTGTTGTTGTTGCTAGCTCCAGAATTCTTGGAAGATCTTTAACACATGTTCGGCGAGTGCTTCTGCCTTTATTCATCTTCAGAGGAACACTTGCGTGGGGATCTTTGCCCTAATCAGCCCTTGCGTGTCCCCGAAGTAATATTGCCATTGTCACGCCATGCCAAACCATTAGTATCCACACACGCATAGCTCTGGCCAGCTTTACTCCATTTGCTCCTCAGAGGAAGCACTGCCGAGCTATGTACGTTCTTTACAGAAATGACTGCTAAGAAGAGGTTGAAACTGAGAGATTCAGCAAATAAAGGAAATTCCAGAAATCTCAAAGTACCTTTTACAGTGATATGTTATGACTGCACATTCCCTTTCCTCAAACCATGCCTCTTAGTGCAAAGCTCACATCCGCTCTGCTGATAACATGATGAAAAGTATCTGGAGTCATGTTCCCAGGGCATCATCATAAATTAGATTCTCTCCAGCCTGATTATTCATCTTTTTCTCTTCTGCTCATGCAGATATTGCCTCCACATCAGCCTTTCCACAGCGGTAGGACTGACTGCAAATGCTCTTCATATAAATATTTACACTGTAAAACCAGTGAGTATAAGTGACGGCATTTTTTAAAAAGATGATGTGATGTAGACTGCTGTGCTAGGATGGGGCAAGACTGAGTTAGTCAGGAGGCCGCCTCAAGTCTGATGGTCCTCTAAAGCTTCCTAGAAAATGTGCTCTGATTTTCAGTCTTTCACTTTAGGCAGAGACCTAGTGGGTAATAAGATGTTTCTGAGGGATTAATAATGTCAGTACCCAACAGATATATTTCCCTACCGCAATGCCTCTACCCATGCCCAAGTCTCCCAGGCTGCTGCTCGTGTTGAAATGAAATGCTCCTTTTCTCCCAGGGTATAAATGTCAGTCCTGCTGTAGATATTCACTTTTTTTTAGGGTTTGTTTCCAGGACAAGACTCTGCTTTTCCAGTGTGCTGCAGTGGTTCTCAAACACCAACACCTTGGCAAAGAAGGGCACTTTCAGTCCCAGTGCCAACCTCTCGTGCTCCAGCAAATACATCTGTTAAGAAAAGAAATGCTATCAGCAGGGCAACAGGTGGCATATTGCAGCCAATCATGAAAGGTTATAATAAGACAGAAGGAGCACGTGCGAGAGAGAGAGGAGAAAAAACGAAAAAGAGGGGGACTAAGCTGAAGGAAAATCCCACAGCAAGCACTTTTTCCACTGCCGCACTCACACGGTGCTGAAACAAAGGCCTGGTGACTTTGCAGCGCTGGGTAGGGTACTGCCCTGGAAATGCGTTTGCCCATTGTAGTCCTCTCTGTTTGCTTAGAAGGAATTCAGAAGGGATTTGCTTTCTCTTGTTTCATGAGCCCCACGCTTTCACACTGACCGAAGTGGATACGCACCAGCTGGCCGCGTCCATCACCGCCGCCGGGAGGGAGAATTCCTGATTATACTTAGATCCCGCAGACCCCGCTCTGTCATTAGTGGAGAAGCTCTGCTCGCACACCACTGTCCGAAATGCAGCTGGCCGGCAGCTCCGCACGCCTTGCCTGAAGGAGCCGGATGCCTTCTGGATCAAACATGAACGACCTGCTGAAGGTGCCCCTGGTGCACGTCCTCGCCCTGGCAGCCCTCAGCTTAGCCGAGACTCTCCCGAAAGGTTTGCCTGGAGGGGCTTTTGCCCTGCTCCGCTCCTGCCTTTTGCCAAAGGAGGTTTTGCAAAGGGGGAGGCGTCTCTGGTAATGGTGGGGTGGATGGTGTGGTTGCGTTCCTAAAAAGAGCAAAAATGTGCTGCTTCTGGTGGTTACTTGACTGCTTTTAGAAGGATAGCAGTGATAATAAGCTCATATTTGTGTCTGAGATTGAAGTTTCTTTGTCTAGGAAGAGCATGTAGCCCTGTTGTAATGGGCAGGGGAAACCTTTGGGTTCAGCCGGGTGGGATGGACATTTGTCATGTCAAAGGAAGCTTGCAGGTTTTAATGGCTGCTAGCACCCGCTGCTGCAGAGCCCAAGGTTTGTGGTGTTCTGCACGCCTGTGTATGCTTATAAATATATAAAATGCAAAGAAGAAGTAAATAGCTCTAATGTCTTTACAGAACGTGTGTATATAAATACAAATATATGTGGTTTCTATTGCATATAACATAAAAGTTATTATACCTTCTTCCTGTCTTGTGGGCACACACGCACATGGTCACACGCACACATACCTTCAGGCAACACCAGAACTGAAAACAATCTGTTTAGAAAAGTCTTTGAGGTTCAAGGTGCAACAGTGGTCTTCTGGACATGGCGTCTGGTAACCGTGGGCAAAAGGTTTCACTGCATGGTGATTGTCAGGAGCCATTCAAAGCGTACCAGAAACTTTGCAGCTTCAGGAAAACAAACAAAAAACCTCATATCTCAAGGAGGATGCCAGTAGTCACTGGTTAGGCCAATGTCTCTGCTCTTGCAGGGCTGTGCTCTTACAATTGTGAGTCAGGTTGGCCTCAAGATGGAAAAAACAAAAAGGTCTCTTTATGAAAACCTTTTGAAATAAAAATGTTAATTTTTTCCTAAGGCACTAAACCTTGGTCTTTTTGAAAGCTGTGGTAAGACGGGATTGGAGAGGCAAGAAAAGCAAAAAGGAAGGGGATTGATGTTTTCCCTGGTGGCACAGTGCAGTGAAGAGATACGCATCCTTTCCTAAATCATCGCGGGTGGCTGAATTGCCTTTTTCCCTGAGAGAGGCTGAAACATGACTATGGCCCAGCGGTGCCCTATGGAGGTTTTGCAGCAATAGCTGGAAACACGATTGAGCCGTTTTTGACCAGACGAACTGCAGTATCTCCAGGCATCTGCAACGCTGCAGGGGAGACTGGCTCTGTTTTCTGCTTTGTTTTGTTTTGAAAGTGTGAATCCAAAACCAAAGCCAAGCAATTTAGGAGTTTTTGGTGAGCTGGGGATAGAAGGGGATTTGGCTTTGTCATGGGACCCATGGCCGGCCTTGGGTCATTGTGCTATCTCGAGAAACTGCAGCTGACATCCAGAAAAATGGCACCTGTGTGGCTTTACAGATATATAAGTTAATTGATTTTCAAAGCTATTTAAAGCCACACGGCTACCTGGAAAATGTCAGAGAGCCCCAATGAATGCACATGGAAAGGTCTGGGGCTGTTTCTCTATGCTGATAGATATGTCTGTACACTGTTTGTTTTTTTTTTTCCCATGCTAAAATATGGTGATGTTGGCATCAAAATATATCTTGAATATAAAACATGTCATCATAAGTTTTCATTGCTTTCTCGAGAAAACACAGACTGACACCAACACCTGAGATTTCTGGACGCCTTTTAGAAGGAGGCACCATCTCAGCCATTTTGGGGCTCTTTCGCCACCTCACGACAAAATGGCGGCGCTCTCCACCGCTCGCTGTCCCCTGCAGACTCCGGCCTTGTGCCCTCTTCCCCCTCACCCCGGCTACAGGAGCACTGCCTTCACCTCCCTGCTGGCCCAGCACTCGGTGTTAATATTGGAAAGGTAAAAAAGAGCATATGAGAAAGTGACACATTGCTGCTGTTGTCACGATTGCTCTTCGGGGATGTAGAATTTGGGGACGCAGCTGTGAAAAAAAAAAGTTCCCTTTCTGCTTTTACCATAGGTAAAGTTCTGTCAGTTGGGACAGTATTTTCTGTGAGTATGGGGCTTAATTCTGCCCTAAGACCTGCGTGCTGGCTTTCAGGAGGTGCCAGATCAGATCCCATGTAGGCAATATTGATAATTCTGTCATACATTGAACTAAGGAGATACCATGAAAGTACTTAAATGCTGCTACTGAGTTTGTTTAATATGTAAAACTGACAGCCCTTGTTTGCCCAAAGAATAAAATATTGTCATTATACATACTGGCTCTTGGTACAAATCTAACTTTATTCTTCATGAGAATGGCCATGCTTATTGTGACAATACAGTTATAAGACTGGTTGCTTTGAATTTTGGTTACTGTAAAAATTTACATTTCTCAGGGTTAAAAAAGCATCCTTCCAGAGATCAAGGCATGCAGACAACAGAAATAAAAAAATACTATATAAAATTAGCTTGTAAAACTCTATTTCAGCCAGGCTTAATGTGATCAAAGCCCAATAAACTCTGTCTTGAAATAACACTGTCCCCTTTGAAGTAGACAGCATAGCCATGAGTGGAAGTTATTCTCCTAAGAAAATCTTCAGTAACAGGGAAATTTCTGCTTTATGAAAATCTTCCATTTAGTTTCACTGGTGTGGGATTCATCTGGGGTGCAATATGGATGATTACTTCTGTCTAGTGTGACCCAAAATGACACAATAAATTGAAGCCTGATACAATTTGGAGCAGTGATCTTAAACAAGGAATCTGACACTTTATGTTTTAAATAATGTTTAGTTAATACAATCTTTAGTGCTATACTAGCTGTACTTTTAAGATCTTTTTATATATAATAAGTATAGTCATTACCAATTATGAAATCTGAAATCATCTAATCTAGAAATATTGTTGAGGCAGATTCGTTCAATTGACATTTCAAAAATGCTTGGACTTTTACATAAACTTGATAGTGGAAGCCGATCCTTTCTTTCTCTAGCTTCATTCCAGCTGAACTCCAATGACATTCTGATTTTTACTCCCATGTAAATTGAAAAAGCATTAATGTAAAGACTTTCTATTATTCTCAGTCACTTAAATTGGAGTGTCTTGTAATTTTGCCTTTTTTTTTTTAAGAGGGAGGGGTGAAATTGGTGTAGTTTTTGCCTGAATTTAAATCTTATTGCACTGACGAGGGTCAGCAGGTACAGTGTGGGCAGGATTGTTCTCTGAAAAGACACACAGTGTGACCGATACTGCTACAGTCAGCGAGGAACAGGAAGATTCTTGCATCCGCTGTACATTTTCAAGTTGGTGTTTCAGGAACATGGTATGAAACTCGTTCATCTCAGCACAGCTGTCAATGAAATCCAGTCCAACAAGTATTGGATGTGTGTTCCTCACAGCCATAGACTGCAAGTCATTCAAGTGTCTTTGGAGGCAATGGCTGCAATGCATACCATGCGCAGGGGAAGCCATTTGCTAGAGGTATCCTTTGATCCCTTCCAGCCGTGCTTCAAGTCTTTTACCAGGGTGACAGAAAATGTTTCTAAAGATATATAAAAATAATGTACAACCACAGGTCTGTGATAATAAGCATCAGACACAGCTATTAGGCTTCTAACCCTGGTGCTACTTGGTTAGAAAAGTTGAGAAAAAGAGAATGTGTGCGAGTCATGACACAAATCTGGAAGACCTGAAGGGCCTTTATGAGCCTGGCCTTGAAAAATATAGTGCCATAAAACTTCTTTTTTTTTTTAAGAGAAATAGTTGAGTGGAACAAATCCCATATTAATGACAGAGAGGTCCAAATCTCTTGCATTACACATTAATAAGGAGGCACTGTGCCCACTCCAGGAGCAGGTCAGCTTGGCTTCAATTTGTGTGCTGCTCCTTGCACTTCCAGCCCACGCAATGCCACCCCGCAGCAGGGGGACGGCCGCACCTCTGTCCGGGCACTATGCCACCCGGTTCCATGCACCTTAGGGGAGAGGAGGGTAGAAGCGAGCTTGCTGGAGCCGCCCCGTGCTTGGGCCGCTCCGTTTTGCACCCTGTCGGGAGACCACGAGGGAAAATGCAAAACCTGTAGCAAACAACAGAAGGCTGCAGCTACGAATGCGGAGGGACCTGTGTTACAGCAGGTAACTTCTGCGCTGGGGAAGAAGCCATGGAGTGGCCCTGCAGGGACACGGCTGCCTCCACCAAAGAGGTCTGGCAGGCCTCGTGCCTCTCTCTGGAAGGCAACAGGAGCTTTTCTCATTTTCTCTTCCTTCGCACAGCTCCCTTGATCAGCACTCCTCTGGAAACTGTGGATGCGCTGGTAGAGGACGTCGCCAAGTTTGTGTGCGTAGTGGAGTCGTACCCTGAGCCGGAGATTACATGGACGCGCAACAGCATTCCCATCAGGTAGGGAGCAGCCCCAGCCCTCTCCAGCATCTCCTGCCAAAACCATCAGTGCTTTCCTTCATGATAAAGGAGATATCTGGAAACATCCAAATGGGTCTGCGGCAGGGAATAAGGTTGAGAGGTTGTAATTATATGGGAATCTGTGTTCCTTAGGGAGTGATAGGAGCACCTGGGGAGTGCTCTTGCAGATTCACACACTTGAGCTTGGAGACAGCTGGTTTCTGCTGCAAGCAGTGCAAGGAGTGCTCTCCAGCTTCAGACAATGCGATCTGCTCCCTTCCTCAGTATGTGCATATACAAAAGAGGAAAATGAGGTATAATATTTAAAAGGAGCAATGCCAGACTTCTTGTCTGAATATCTGGAATGTGCTTGGAAACTTTGCATGGAAGAGGTCATATCAAGCCATTCTTCCTTGCTTCTAGTTCTGGATCTGAACATAGGCAACTGGCTTCTTTTTGTTATGCACTGTCAGACATTAACGACCAGGGATCAAGATGCCACCGAAGAAGGCAAACTTGGAAATGTCTTACGGAAGTTGCTACCATTGCTTTATCTGTTGCTGTCAACAGGTTCCTGCAAAGCAAACTGTACCTGATCTTCCAACTCTGAAATCACATTACACCTGCCATATGGCTTCACATCAGTTTATCATTCTAGATCGCTGTTAGTGACTCCCTCTGTAAGGAAAAATTACAGAACAATCTCTGTGTAACACAGTTAAGGCCCGTTCTCCACAAGAGATGTCTATGTTAGGCAGATGGTCACCTGAAGCACAGTTCCTGCCATTGGGGTCCAGCCTCCAAAGAGCCTTTGAAACATTGCCTTGGCAGACTCCAAATAAGTCAGCAGGAGAAGGAGGTCTTACTGCTGTGAAGACTATTTTAAAATAGGAGAAAAGCAGAACGCTACACATATGCATGCTGGCCTTCAGAAATCTTTTTTTCATTGCCTGCAACAGGATGTCAGCAAAACTCCAGTCCTAATCCTCTGACCCCAGCTTTGTTGCAGGATGGAGGTCTGAATTTCCATGGATGTTATTTCCAAGTCAGGTCACCTTTCTCCTAATTCCTTTCTGATCAGTGACACCATGCCTGAAAAACAAAGCTGGGAGAGGAAGCCATTCATGTAGCACCATGGAGATTACATGCCTTTCTCTCCCCATGGTCTTTAAAATTTCACTCTTTCTATGATCTAAGATCATATGAAAACCAGATCATTTCTCACCCCAATCCCCACTTCCAGAAGCCCAACACACCCCTCTAAAAGTCATCCCACTCCCTCTGAGAGACAGTGCCTTTTTTACAACATTAACCAAAGCGGAAATTACTGATCAGAAAAGCTCTGCTGGTGAGGCTGGAGAGCTCAGGTGCTTCATTCCTTTACCGTGACTTCTGGAGTAACTTTAATAGCAGCAACAATTTCACCTTCCCAAAGCTGTGTTGGGATTAATAGTTAGTGTGTCTGGATACAAAACCTCAGACCAACATGGAAATAGAAAGGCTGAAAATATTTCTGTTACTTTCCAAGAATGCGGATGAAAGTATATGCACAATGGAAAAGGATCAGATCAGTGGACTTTTTTTTCTGAAAAAAACATATATTTATGAGCCTCTGTGTGTGTATGTATCAAACTTCAAAGGGGCTAGCAATAAATATCACTTATTTTAGTCACAGTTTTCTTCTCTTGCCAAGGTCCCAGCATCCTGAACAGACAGCTAAGCTAACCTTCAAAACAAAACAGTATGTAAACATTCATCTTTAATGGGAATAGTTCCAGGACAGAGGCACTAATCTTCTGGAAGCACCTTTCCTTTTGGTGTCAAAACATGTGCAGGTAGACTGGCAGGTGCCCTGTGCCAAGTGAAATTGTTGCCTGCCCCGTCTCCCAGGACAGGGCTGCATGGAGTGAGCCTTCCTCAGGAAGAGGAGGGAATGGAGCCTGCACGTCTTTTACATGATGGATGAGTTCATTGTAATATTGCTTCCCAGGGTGAAAAAGAGGAGAGACATACAAGACTGAAAGGCGAAAAGCTGCTGAAAGGAAATATGTGCCTGAAACACTGTATATGTCACAGTCTGATTACTCAGTGACTGCTCTATGATTTTTAACAGTAAAAGACAAAACAGGACGTTCTTAGGTGTCAGGTATTTGTGATAGCTTGGAAGACAATCCTCAGGTGAAATCCCTTTTGCTACTGTTCATCAGAATCAAAGGCCAATTGCATGAAAGTGCTTCCAAAAAGTATCAATGAAGGTGTGAAAATCAAACATGGAAGAATTTATGAAATGTTATGAAAATCTTGTCCCACTGAAGTTTAGCTACTATGCTTTTCCAGTTTTGCAATGAAAATCAATGTCTGCTTTCTAACTACCTTTCTTTCGTTCTCTCTTGCTCTTGCAAATGTACACACACACACATCCCCCATGCTCACATACGGAGTTGGTCTTTCCTCCACAGACATTGTTATAATATCACGTACTTTTGTGCTCCAGCTTCAGGACTTTTCTTGACTTCTCTGAAGTCTCCAGGTTAAAGCCTGCTGTTATTAAACTATAGTTATCTTTGCATCCTCTAATCTTTAGATGGCTTCTTTTCTTCAGAATATTTCTTTCTTTGTTTGGGTGTTGTTTTTTTTTTTCTCCCCCAAAAACAGACAAAACCACTCCTGGATGCAGACATAACAATACTTGTTTTTGGTTTGAGTCTTACAAAATATTAGCTGTTTAGTTAATTTTTTTTTTGTTTTTAATTTGAAGATGGTTTCTTAAAAAAACTTTAGCTAGTTCCAGTTCCTGTATAGACAGTCCTTCTCTTGGACTGAGTGATTATGCCTAAACCAGGACACAGCTGGGTAAGATTACTTGTGCTTATGCCTGTCCTTAGCCATACAGAAACCCAACCATGATAACTACTTACTTTACCAATACCTGACTGGAGGAAGAATTGCCACCATGCTGCATGGTCCAAATCTTAAGGCCCAACTCCACATTTTCAGTGCCTTCCCTTCTCTTTACAGGTTGAAAATAAAAAAATAAAAAGTATTGCCATTTGTAGTGCTGTCAGCAGTCTGCAGATACAAATGCAGTTCCCCGGCTGTCCCCCTGCCCCTGACAATCTGTGCTGTGCCCTGCAGGCTGTTCGACACCCGGTACAGCATACAGAGGGATGGGCAGCTCCTGACCATTTTGAGTGTGGAGGACAGCGATGATGGGGTGTACTGCTGCACGGCAGATAACGGGGTTGGAGCGGCTGCGCAGAGCTGTGGGGCTCTCCAAGTGAAAATGCGTAAGTAGGAAAGTAATTTCTTTCTGACACCATGCGAGCATGTAATTGGGAGCCTGAGCAGACCCCCAGGCATGTGCCCTGGTGGTCTATGTTCAGGACAGACCGATGTTCCTATGGGGCTGGGTGCAGTCCCTTGAAAAAGAGACATGGCATATTGGATCATACGTTAACTAAAAGCAGTTGTGAATATTCACTTTGAATAACACACACTTATGCTAGGATCAGAGAAACTGTTTGCATAGCAGAGGATAAAGAATGACGCTTTGAAGAACACCCTTTGTACAAAACTTTGTAAAAGCAGCATGATTTGATAGATTAGACCTCAGTAGCAGTACTGCAGAAATCCCCTGTGAATTTTAAACATAGCATTTCCTTAATCAGATTTATGGCTGAGGATGGCAGAAGCAAGTAAATGCTGTTCAGATGTTCTTAATAGCAGCCTTGAAAGGTCTGGAGCACTGCGGTGTAAATCTCATCACACCACGTGGAAGGCAGAGGACTGGTTCTTGCAAAGGACTACTTACGTGCTGAGCTCGGTGAAGCTGAACTCACATGGCTGCAGTTATTTACACAAACAATTAAAAGGACAGCTGAGATATATCCTGGCTAAAGGATTTGTTTGCTCTAATGAGCACGACCCTCCAGGGCCGGTAATTTGGGGGCTCTCCAGCACCCCAGTTGCCTGTGGGTGGGGGCCAGGAGGTGATACTCTCTGAAGGTCATTTTTCTGCTGGTATCGTGCAAAGGAGGCAAAACTCCAGATCTCCCAAAACACTGAGATGAAGATCTTTTTTACTCTCAGCTTAAAGTAAGCTAAGCCATGTTTTTCTTTGAGTAAAATGAATTTAAATTTTTCCCATGTTAAGTTTAAGGGAGTTTGATTGTTTTTTTCTTTAAGGATCCTTTCTCCTTTTTACTAGTATAGCTCTAAATCCTGCAATTAGGGACATTAGTTGAGTTTACATGCCCTTCTTGTTGAGCTAGAGACAAGCCTGGGTTAAAACTATTTCCAAACCAATTCACTCCAGATCTGAGCTTTCACACAAGACACTGTTTATGCAGTGAAGAATGTAAAAACCTGGAATGCAAACTGCCTTCAATATTGGAAATACTCTTATCTGGATTTGGATTTTAGCCCAGGCCCTAATTCAAATGCCTGTCAAACTCTACTCCTGAAAACAAATAACCCGTGCGAGTTAGCTGCTTTTGTGTCCATAAACTTAACTCTGAATGCCGTGCTTAAGAGGTTTTTTCTTTCAAAGGCAGCTCGTGACCTATTAAGACCACTTTATCTTTCAGCAACTTACAGAAAAAGCAGCAGAGATTTTGTTGTAATTTCTGAATTTGTCCTGTTCTAGTATCTGTTATCTTCAGTTCAACTTTAATATTTGTCTTTTAAAATTTTAGGACCCAAAATAACCCGACCGCCTATAAATGTTGAAATAATAGAAGGGTTAAAGGCTGTCCTTCCATGCACTACAATGGGGAATCCCAAACCTTCTGTTTCATGGGTCAAAGGAGAAACAGTTGTAAAGGTGAGTAGAGAACGAAATTTAAGTAATGCTAACTATTTGCTAAGGTATTGTGTTAAAATATTAGCAACGATTACAGCATTTTATAAATTCTAGTTGCTAGGAAGCAAGCATTTGGAAAATCCAGAGATCATCTTGTAAATATCTGCATCTGCAGTAATTCAGCCTATGAACCAAACATTGTCTGTATCGATATTTTATATGACATACATATTTATTACTACTAAGTGTGGCAAGTGCTGCTGAATGCACTTGTAGGTGTGCTCAAAAATAAGACCTACTGAACCACTGAGCTAAGATTCAGGGCTCTTTGGAAGCTATAATTCACTGATCTGCAAAAAGACGGATGTGTGAGTGTGTCATTAAAATGCTGAGCAGGAAGAGCTGGCCCCAAATCCTTCAGCTGTAGGACAATGCAAATAATTTTCATGTGTGTATGCCAAATCTTTGCAAGTGGGTATTTGGTGTTGCTTGTGTGCAGCCTGCATGTAAAGCCCTCACCTTGATCCCTCCTTCATCTGGCAGGAGAATGCTCGCATTGCTGTCCTTGATTCAGGGAATTTAAGGATCCACAACGTTCAGAGAGAAGATGCAGGACAGTATCGATGTGTAGCCAAGAACAGCCTTGGCACAGCCTATTCGAAACCCGCAACGGTGGTAGTGGAAGGTGAGTAACCCTTGCACCAGGCTCCAGCTCCACATGCCAGCTCCTCATGCATACCTGGTTAACTTGAATTAACTTGAAGTGTCACATTGATGTTGACAAAAACATCTCAGGGGGTAATGTGAGAGGCAGAAAAAGGGAAGGAAAGGGAGAAGGAAAGGGAGAATGAAAGGGAGAAGGAGAGGGGAGGAAGTTTATCCACATCTGCTCCCATTGCTGGCTGATGGTGAAAGGGACTATCTGTTGAGGGTCCTTGTTCCACAGCTGCTGTGGCTTTAGTAGGGTATTTGTCTGAGTAAGGACTCCCAAATATGTTTTTCCTTCTGACTCATGGTTTCCAAGATGCCAGCTTGTTTCTTCTTTGAAAAGTCCCATCAGACCTGTGGGTTATACACTATGGCTTGTGGAGATGGACAAATAGAAAGCTGATGGCCCTGGAAACTCGCTGCAAAGAGCCTGATCAGAGAGAGCTGCAGCTGCAAACAGTGAAGCATTTTGCACCATTATGCATATGTCCCTCTCCTTTTTCTCTGATTTTCTATCTGAATTGGTTAGTTCTTTAGGTAAACAGAGCTTTTCTTTTTGAGGACTTTAACATTTTCTGTCTGCTAAACCAAACAAAGGGTTGCTTTTTTAGTTTCTGGTCTTTATGTGCTCAGTGTCGATCTCTTATTTACAGAAGGTGTTTTCTTTGTGGTATAAATGACCACCAGTTTCAGACTGCTGAGACCCATGGACTGCAGAGGAACCCAAATCACAGTGGGAGGAGGGATGACTGACTCAGTAGATGAACTGATTTTAATTCCTTATTCAGAATGACTGTACTGTAGAAAGTGGAAAGGGTCTCCACCTACCTAGTAAGCTTCAAAAGCTTGTTGTAGGTTATGTTTGGCCTGTGACTGTTAGAGGTTACTTAGGGTGCAATTCCATTTCTAAGATGACCTTTGACTTTCTTCTGGGAGTAGGATCAGGTGTATTAGATACAACTACAAATTACTGTAGGTCTGCTGTTTACGTAAAAAATGCACTCATTTTTCAGGTTTTTTTTTAAATATTTAAATGTACAGACTTCAAGTATGTTAAAAATTCCGTAAATAGCTTGAAAACAGGAAGGCAGCTATTCCTAATCTAGATTCAGAGCTGTACTTCTCCTGAGCAAAAAAAATGGGGCAAATTGAAGATACTTGGATCTGACTATGAACGGCTTGGGTCCTGATTTTTAGTTTGGCCCTGTTATTGTGACGGCCAAAGACTTGTCAAGAATTAACTGTGAATGGCAAACACTTGATGCCATGCATATAACCCCCACCTCCATGCTGACAGGCCTGAGGCACTGGGATTTTATTGCTCCGGATCTACTAGAACCAGTTAGGGAATCTAAAAGGGGGCTGGAACTGCACCAAAATTCAGTTTCCTAAGGTTGATACCTTGTTTTGTTCTTGTCTCCAGAATTATACAGCCACCTGTTTATTCAAGAATTGGCAAAATAATCTACAATTATCCTACTCACAAAGGACAGCCTGTATGTGCTCTTTTTAAAGTGATGAAGATTAGTTCTTAATTAATCAATGGGATCTCAGTGCTCCCACACAAACTATCCCTTCATGTTGCATGCATGTGTTGGGTGAAGAAAGCAATGCTGTTGTCCAGGCTCACCTTGGTTTCTATGATAGGGCACCCATACAATATATCTTGTTTCAGGCTGCCACTCAAACTAGACTGAGGCACGTTTGTTTTACTTTTTTGGCTTCCAAAAGGTAATAATCCTGACTGCAGCTTGCTATGTATACAGATCCCTTCCCCTCTCAGTATTTTAGGTTAATTTTCATGGATATTTAGCATACATACATATGCACACAGCTGTGTATGCACGCAGGTATGTGCACAGGCGTACATCCCCCTCACGCACTTTTATTTTTAGTATCCTTTCCCTGCTGCCTCTCCTACCCGCTTAGTATCAGCATTTTAAAATAACTCCAAGTAAATAATAATCTAAAATCACTCAATGCAGGAAAATCACACTTCAGTCAGTCTTCTTTAGCCATTCACTATATTCAGGAAACCTGTGAAAATATGCTGTTTGTTGCTTCTCTGTAATAACACTACAATATTTTTTCTTGGTGCTACCATTCACTGGAGTTACCATCCTGCTTAGAGTGTGGCTTAATATTAAAATAAAATCACTAAGCATGGCTGGTTAACTATGAATATTTAATCCCAAAGCAAATGCTCATTCAAAGAGCAGTGCAAATATTTATGCTTAGCTAAATCTAGATCAGGTGGGTTCTGATTTCTGAAAGAGGTTTCTAATTTTCTCTTGTGAGCTTCCATTTTAACAGGTTCAGCGTTAGTCCTGCAACTAGTTTCAGGCATTGTTCAAAGTGCAGAGTTGTCTAACTTCTTGAAAGATTGACCCTCTTCCCCCTGCACATGGCCAGGCTTCTTAATGCATGTATGGTCAGGCACGTGCTTAAATGACTTGCTGAAGCTGGCCTCAGAAACTACAGGAAGTCTCAAATACGTAAAATTATCTATGCTGGATCCACTCACTCAAACTGATGATAATCTTGGCCCAAGTATTTACACCACTGAGGTGCCTTACAGTCCTACTTCTTGTCTGGTTTCAGCAGTTCAGGGTGAAACAGTTTGAAAAATGCTGCTATTTTGATTTTCCAAATATTTTTTCTCCATTCCTTGTTGGCTTTCCTCAACATTTATAATACTGACCTCTATTTATTACTTTTAAAGCACAGCTTTAATATTTTTAAAGCTTTATTATTTTTAAAGCAAAGTCAAAATAATTTGAGCAACGATTTTACATGAATATTCAGGTGCAGTTCCTCTCAGGAAAAAGAAAGCAGTGGAGGCCTTTCTTAGTGGAACTGATTTTTCGGTTGTTCCTGATTTTTGTCAGTGAATGGGGGGAAGGAGATAGGGATCCTGTGGGTGCTGGCCCCAGCATGGACTGCTCCCTTGCGAGCGCAGCCTGCTTCCTCTTCCAGGACACGTTTCAGGCACCAGAGTTCAGGTGAAGTCTAATCAGTTAATGAGCTTTACTGTCTAGAACTGGGTCAGGATTTTAATTAAAAGAATTGAAAAAGGCTTGTCCTTTTTGACTGTATTTTTCCCCAAGTTCGGGGCGAACTCACATGAATTTGGACACGTGATGGTGAAACAGATTCTCTCCTTAAAAGGCATAATCCATTAGGGGTGGAAACATGATCATAATGGACCTGACTGCTGGATCTGTGGGAAGAGCTGGGATCTTCACTGCGAGCTGTGCTGAGCCCATGGGCGGCACTGCCCTCACCAAAAGACTGCCTGGGGTGCCTGGAGGGTGTCAGGAGGAGAAGCAGAGCATGAGCATCCCCTTGATTTGATACCAGGGAGTGGGCACAGGAGGTGAGGAACTGGGAAGTGACACAAGAGGCAAGCATTGGCCAAGAGAGCCAGGTGAACCACCATGCAAGGTA